ATGAGTGGGGCTGGGTTTGATCCTCAGCACCACATAAAAATAAAGGTATTGTGTTGTGTCCATGTACACCTAAAAATAAATTTAAAAAACTAAAAAAAAGAATAAAATAAAGACAAACCAAAAACTCTTTGAAGATGTTACAACTGAAAAGTACATTTTCTACGGCAGAAATTTTGTGTTCTTGGAATTCATCATAACATAGAATCTACAGTATTGACTGTGAATGAAAATTCTGTTTTGACTTTATAAAATACATGTATGCTAAAAATTGTTTCTTTCTACTAAGGATAGTAAACACTGGAATACCACCTGTGTTAACATATAAAAATTCATTCAACTCCTGGGGAAATAAAGACAAAAGGGAAAATTTTATTTATTTATTTTTTAATTATTTTTGAGAGAGAGAGAAAGAGATTTTTTTTAACATTTATTTTTCAGTTTTCAGTGGATACAATATCTTTATTTTATTTGTATGTGGTGCTGAGTATCGAACCCAGCACCACGCGCATGCCAGGCAAGCGCGTTACCACTTGAGCCACATCCCCGGCCCAAAAGGGAAATTTTAAACCAGATTTGTTACCTTCAATCTGTGGAGATAACTCACCTCATATGCTATCTAAGTGTTCCTCACAAATTCTTTTTATCCTGAGCCCAAGAACCTTGGTTTGCATTTGTAATTTCTGCTTATACATCTTGCTGATACTTAGGTTTTTGCTCCTTCCAATTATAAGGTACTACTTCGGTTTTCTTCCTTCAAAAACAGCAGATAGGCTTTTACTCCCAGGTAGCATCCTTACTTCGATCCTTCACATTGGGCTTGCTAGCTCTCAAATATCTTACTTTACGAAGACCATCTGTATGGCATCTTCCCTTACTTTTCTAGCTTCTTGTTTCATTTGCCTGTTTTAAGCTGACAGTCAGTATGAATTTAGAGCACTATTCTCACTTTTCTGAAATATTATTTTCATTGGTCAGTAGCAAAGTGATAAAGTGAAAGTAGATTAGTAAAAGATAAATTGACCCTTCTTAGGACTCTACTGTATTCTTAGATTTTTGTGCTTCTTTATAGATTTGACATTAAAATACTGTGTTCTGTTCTTTCTAAAGTGACAAACAGGAAAAGATAGGGAAAAAATATTTTCTTAACAAAATTATGAATTGATGATCATAGTGTCTTTCTGAAATTTATGGCCAGTGAGATAAGAAAGTCTGTCAAGAGTTGACCCGCTAGAGAAAGCCACTGGAAAAATTCTGTATAGCCCTTCCTCTCTGTTGTTTTTGCTTTTAACAAATCAGGCGATTTATTAACCTGTTTGTTCTAATACTTCTTATTGGCAGCTGCCACCGGAATGGTGATTCTATCTGGATCTCTCTGCCCTTACGGTATCAGTTTACAACCTCCAACTTGGTCCTTTTCCACCATTATCAGCCTCTCCTGGGCTTGGAGTACTCGGTGGACCAAGTCAAGAGCCTTAGCTGAAGTGGCTGGGCATGACCTCGTCTCTCTAAGGTCCCCCATAGATCTTGGTCATGGAGCCAACTGCAGCACCACCCTGGAGGTACAGGTACTATGCTGTGAAAGCTGCTTGTGTGCGGTTCTCTTCTTAGGAAGCAACCTCTTTGTTTTTGGCCAGCTTGACTTCATCTACCCTTTGGAGACTTTCAACTTCCAGGACTTGTTGAGGACAGCTGCCAGAGCTCTGAGAGACTCCTTCTGGTTTCCATCTTTCATAGTAACTCCAGGCATCCTGTGGCCTCCTGCTCCCAGCCAGGAGAAAAAGGTTTCTGGGTTGCTTTTGGTTTTGTTTTCCCAAAGTGGACATATATGTAACCTCCCTCCTTCACTAGATTGTTGATATAAAATTAGTAACAGTAATTCAGGAAGACTCATTCATTGGATTTACTTCAGAATAAGTAAATCCTAAATCCTAAGATGATGGTGTAGGGAGGAACAATTTATGATATGGAAAGTATTGGCTCTAAGTTGGTAATTGTTAAACTGGATAGTGGATATAGGGGGTTCATTATGCCACTATTTCTGCTTTCTGTTTGAAAAATTCCATAATTAAAAAGTTGTTTTTTTTTTTAAAGTGAGGCTATTTAAGGAGATTGGTGAAGGCATAGTTTCTCATGTCTTTTTAAGCACCCTTAGCAGCTAAAATGATTCCTATGTTGAATTCCTCCTAAAATATAAAGCAGTGAAAGCTGGGCTGCTGTGGTTGAAGAATAGGAGGCCTGGAGCCTGTTTGGTCTCATCACTCACCCTTTGAGGCTCCTCTTAGGAAACCCACCAGCCTCTACTCCTGCTATTTCCCTCCTGTTTCTCTGGAAATGGAGCCCCTCCTCCTGTTGAAGTCCAACTGTCTTGGCATGTCCAGGATCCATTGGCTTCCGCCCTCTAAAGGGTTTTGCAGCTTTAGGTCCTAATTTATATCTTTTCTGCTCTTCAAAAACATTGCTATCAGTGTCCTCACATGCTGTAGTATTTCCTACCTTTCAAAACAGAACAAAAATTCCTCTGTTAATTTCATATTCTCTCCATACACACCCAGTCTCTGGCACCATTCATAATGTCCCTTAATACCCAAACCTTGAAAGAGTTGTCTGCACTTGCAGTGTCCACTTCCTTACCTAGCACTTCTCAACACTGTTGGGTATGTGTTCCGTTCCCATGAGACCTGCTCTTGGCGAGGCAGTCCTCCTCCTCCACCAGTTGTAAATGCTTTCTGCCCTATACCACCTCCTCATGCATCTGGACAAGGCTCTTTCCATTTCCTTCCTTCACAGCCTGATCTTTTTATCAGCTTTTACCTCAAAATTAATTTTCTCTTTTTCTCACCTTTGCTACCAACTCAGGCTGCATATTATAATTGTGGGGGTTTTTTTGTTGTTGTTTTGTTTTTGTGTGTGTGTGGTTTGCTTGGAATGAAAACCAGGGCCTCATGCATGCTAGGCAAGTGCTTTACCACTGAGCCATATTCCCAACTCTGTTGAAATGGTTATTTCCTTCTGCTTTTATCATCCCCATTCATTTTTTACTCAGCAGCCAAAGCCATCTTTTTAAATATATGGTAGACCATATCATTCCCCCCTTAAAATTCTGCCAAATAATTCGCTTGACTGATGAGGCCCTGTGGAATCCAGCCATTTTCTATCTACCTGCTTTACCTGGCCTTCCCTTTCCTGATGTGTTCCAAACATACCAGCATCCTTTTCATTTTTGGCTCATACCAATCTCATACTCACTTCTGAGTTTCTTTACATGTTCTTCCCTTGTCTGGAGTGCATGGTCTCTGAGGAGTCTCAGTTTAAATGCTGCATCCTCAGGTGTTCCCAGGTGACCCCATCTAAGCATGTTCCCTCACACCCACATGTTCTCTGCATAGAGCACCACCTTGTCTCTTCAATAGCACTTTCTAAACAACACAGGCTGCATTGCTATAAATGTGTACTTACATGTTTATGAGTTTTGTTTCCCCCATCGGAGAGGAAGTTCCCTGACAGTTGGAACCACAACTGTGTTCTTACCCCCGTGAACTCAGCCCAGTGCCTGACATAGAGTTGGCACTGAGTAAGTGTGGGCAACTGATGCATGGAGAGGGAATGAGTCAAGGAAAGGCTTCATGGGCCTTGGAATGCTGACCCCTCTTCAGGACAATATTCACACTCAGGCTATACTGGAAGACCCACAGCTTTTGTCAAGGATTATTATAAAGCCATATAAACTTGATTTTATAGATTTTATACACATAGTTGATGAGAACATTGTTATATGGTTCAGGATACATATTAAGGTTCACGTTATAAATTTCTGTAGAAATTAGTGTTGCCAAGTACTTTGTTGCACCTGAAAGAATTTTTTAATCTTTTCCTTTCTGATATGATCACATTTCTGTCTTTGCCATTTCTTCCTGGATGTTCAAAGAAAAAGTCAAGGTTCAATCACATTAACTCAGGATTGGCATTAATAAAAGTGTCTTATGAGAGAGCTACAGGTTATAGGGTCAAAGCTGTTTGAATTTTAGCTCTGTCACTGTATCTGTGGCAAGAATCTTAAACTCTGCTATATCTGTGCAATGGGGATGGCATCTACCTTGCAGTTGCTAAAGTGCCTGGACTATAGGTGCCCTTAGTAGATGTTTTTTCTTCAGCCTCCCCTTTTTTGTTATATAAGTAAAACATAAATTGCCTCATGTCCTTTTTGGAAACTGTATGTCAGTGAATCAAAGAATAGAGTTTTTGGTAATTGGGTGAAAAGCAGTTGATTGGAAAAGCACATGCAATTTTAGAAGAGCTATCAGAAGTCTTCAAGTCAGGATTTTTCCTTTGTTGATATCCCAGTATTCAAATCTCAATTCAAATACAAGTGGGGCATTCTTAATTTGAAAATCTGGATTTGAAAATGTTCCAAAGTTCACAATTTTTTTTAAGTCTGTGCAGATATTCTAAAAAACAAAACAAAACTGAAATTTGAAGCACTTCTGGTCCCACACATTTTGGAAACTGATTACCCAATTTGTATCCCCTTCTCACAGAGGCCTTCCCTGATCCACCTGTTTAGATGCCTTCTCTTCCCTTACCACTATGTCCCATTACTCTGTCTTATTTTCTTTATAGCTCTCATCACTAATGAAATTATTTACATGTCCTCTAATTTGTATCAGTTAGTTGGGACTGTGTTTATCTAAATTTATTCCTGCATTTCTAGCCTCTAGGGCAATACTTCGCATATACTCAGCACTCGATGACATTTGAATGAATGGAAACTAAGCAGAACATTTTGGTTAAATCCTTTATTAAATTTGAAAAGGAAAAATGCATTTTATCTGGCACATATTTTATTTTTTAAACCATGCTTTTGGAAAATATGACCCAACATCAAAGTAAAATATAATTATTATAATATTTGGGAAGTAGAACTTTTGAGCTAAAGTGATTATTATCTTAATGGTTAAGATTGACTCTCTTGGGAGGGAAAAATAATGTTTTTTCTCTTTTAGGTCAAAGAGCCCCCTGAAATCAATTTAGTTCTGTACCCTCAGGGCCTAACTGGTGAAGAAGTTTATGTGAAAGTGGATTTGAGAGTTAAATGCCCACCAACCTATCCAGATGTGTAAGTACCTTTATAAATAGCTTTGATGTGGTTTTAGTTTAAGGTCAACAGTATTTTCTCCCCCTGCCATTATGCATAAAATTTCATTTCCTATCACCTGTATTTTAAGAGAAGCATATCAGCTATAGACATTTTCATGAAATCTGTCTTGTTTTAAGTCTGTTTATAGTTATAGGATACTCCCTACAAATACTAATACTTACTCAGTAACTTGTTTGTTTCTTCTGACATGTTAATGTTAATTTATTTAATTCTTCATAAACTAGGAAGAGAACAAATCTTGAAGAAAAGGATAAAAGCTTAGCGACTACTTAAATCACTCATGTACTTAGTTTTAAAATGTGAGTGGCATTGGAAATTAGATCACCTTCTGTGACTGACCTCAATTTTTACGGCCCAAAGAATGTTTAGAGTTGTGGCACTTCTCAGTGTAACTGGTGAGCCATCAATGTGCAAGGCTGTCCCCTGCACAGCAGGACCTTTAGCATCCCTGGTCCCTATCCACTAGTGCCAGCAGCGTTTGCCAATCATTGAGACAACAATAAACCCTTCATATTTTCACACACACACACACACACACACACACACACAAGGCTATATCATCTCTGGTTGAGGATCACTGGTTAGAGCAAAATTATTAGCCATTAGGATTCAAGTGGTCTTATGTATCTATCTCCAGACCTTCACCTGGAAAGACAGATTGACCTGGATGATATTAAGTGGTTTGAATTTATCATACAGGGAACCAGTGAGGGTTTCTGAGAAGGCAAGTGGCAAAGAAAAGATGGCAGTGCTTTCTATGGTGGATAAAGAGGTTATTAAGAATATTAAGAGACAGACAGGTCAAAACTGAGCTCTTGCAAGTCAATAACTTTCTTTTGCCCACAACATTATACTGAGTGTGCACATAGTGGGCATATAAAAGATTAATTAATGAAGAAAAGGAATTAGATTTATGAAAGAAAAGGAAGACATTGCCTCTCTAGTTGTTTGTTTAGTTTTGTTTTTGTTTGTTTTGTTTTGTTTCAGGAAGGTTGGTTGTTTCCTAATACCAAATACATGGTGTCTTTCTGACACCATCCGGGAGTCCAGCAATTCAGTTCTGTCATTAGCTATCCATAGTTAGCACAGACCCCATGGGTTAAGATATCAGTTTGATAAATAATGCCTGTTGCAAGTTGCAGTACTTCCTCTGACTTATAAATTTTGGCTATAAATTTGTAGGTTCCTATAGCCTCCTCCTCATGTTTGATAATTTACTAGAATGACTTACAGAACTCAGGAAAATATTTATATTTACCAGCTTATTGTAAAAGATATGACTCTGAAATAGTCAAATGAGAAAGATGCATAGGTGAGGCATGAGGGAGGGGCATGGAGCTGCCGTGTCCTCCGCAGGCCAGGCATCCTTCTGGCCTCTCCATGTATTCATCAACCCACCTGATCCTTGTTATTTCGGGGTTTTATGGAGGTTTTATACTATAAGCACGATCACTTATTTAAATCATTGGCCACTGGTGCTTGAACTCTATTTCCAGCCCTGCTCTCCTCACACTAGTTTGGAGTAGGGTTGAAATTTCTCATCTTGTAGTCCAAATTTGTTTTTTCTGGTAATTAGCCCCTATTCTGACACTATGCAGGCACCCAACAAGAGTCAACCTCATCCACATATACACCAGTATAGTTGGAAAGGTTTTTTATGATCAGCTCAAGATGCTCTTCTTACCTCTGTCACCCAGGAGATTCCAAGGGTGATAGGGGCTCTTGTGCCAGGAACTGGGATCAAGGACTCTCTATAAATACTTTTTTTATACATTCATAGACTCAAGAATTCAAAATGTTTGCTCCTGACAAATCAAAGAAAAACTTGGATACTTAAGTGCTAAAATATTAATTGTAGCATTATTTATGAAAGTAAAGAAATTGGAACAGTCTAAATTTTAAACAGTTTAAGCAGGCTTTCTCAGCCTTGGCACTGTTGGCATGTCAGCAGGATAATGCTTTTTTTTTTTTTTTTTTGGTACCAGGGATTGAATGCAGGGATGCTTAAACACTGAGCCATATCCCCAGCCCTTTTAAAAAATTGTATTTAGAGACGGGTCTCACTGAGTTGCTTAGGGCCTCGCTAAGTTGCTGAGGCTTTGAACTCACGATCCTCCTGTCAGCCTCTCAAGCCACATGCTATTGTGCCTGGCTTCAGCAGGATAATTAATTCTTTATTGTGAGAGTTATCCTAAACATTGTAGGACGTTTAATAACATCCCTGACTTCTAGATATAGGGAGTAGATATAGAAATACAGGAGGTACCTTCTTCCCAGGTTGTGACAACCAAAAAAGTCTCCAGATATTGACAGATGTCCACTTAGAGACAAAATTGCTCCTAGGTGAGAACTATACTAGAGAACTAGTCAGATAACTCTTAATGTATCCACTTAATAAAATATTATGGAATTTTTTTAACAATAAGAAAGTATTTTTTAAAAATTAAGTGAAAGCCAGGCGTGGTGGTACACACTTGTAATCCCAGTGGCTTGGGAGGATGAGGCAGGAGGATCACAAGTTCAAAGCCAGTCTCAGCAACTTAGTGAGGTCCTAAGCAACTCAGTGAGATTCTGTCTCTAAATAGAATACAAAATAGGGCTAGGGATGTGGCTCTGTGGTCGAGTGCCCCTGAGTCCAATCCCTGGTACCCCGCCAAAAAAAATTAAGTTTTGTATCAACTACATAAAATTATTAGTCATGCAGCAAGGACATAAAATATTAGAAAATTTTAGAGTTTAACTAGTATTAAAGATGACTTTTATACCATCCTTTTAATATTATTATACAATGATTGCTTAATTTTTAAAAAAATAATTATGTAAGGTTTGATTTGGGGGAATATTGTCATCCTTTAAAAATGATGTGGTACAAGAAAACTTTCTTTTATGCCAAATCATCCTTGAAGCCATTCTGAGAGAGAGAGAGAATCCTCAGTGGGATGGACTGTACATGGAACCAGGACTGTATGACACTTCTATTCTTTTTCTCGGACTACCATATTCCAGATTTCTGTCTGACCAGGCAGATAATGATTATAGCAACCTATCATAGTAAATGAAAGATAAGTGTTGAGAGAATGCATAGAAAGGTGAATAGGCAGGGCTGGGGTTGTGGCTCAGTGGTAGAGCGCTCGTATAGCATGCATGAGGCACTGGGTTCAATCCTCAGCACCACATAAATATAAAGACATTGTGCCAATCTAAAAAAACCTAAAAAGTAAATATTTTTTAAAAGAGGTGAATAGGAAAGGCTTTAGTAATCTAAAATGCCAGAATTACTCAGAAATGCTTAATAGGAAGTGATAAATCGTCTTATCTATAAAATTAAATAAATCCTATTTAATCCTACAGTGTTGTTATTGGATGTTTATTTGTTGGGAATGCAAGGAAACCCAAGGACTGGTTTGTAATATCCTTAATTAGAAATGTTGACTTAGATGAGCTCTTGGGGATGAGGAGGAGTGTAAATTAGGTGTCCTTGGAATAGGCAGAGTTTCCAGAATGTACATGGCTATATTTATTCATGAGCCAGTGAGCGTGTCCTTGTTTACAACCAGAATGTGATTGGGGCACAGCCTGTTGTAGGAGTGCTAGATGGATCACCATGTCTCTGTTTCACCTAGCATTCTTGTTTTGCTTTATGCCAGAGCATGCAAAAGAGTGTGTAGCACTTGAACTCTGGCCATTGAGCTGTCAGGGCTAGGTCAATTGACACTGGATGCAAGCTAGGGTAGAGGATTACCATACAAGAGAGTGCATAGTTAAGTTAGTCAGAGTGAGAGCAGAAATGATTAGATTTTTTTCCACAGAAGAAACTCAGAATTGGGGATTAAGAGCAAATCAGAGGCAATCAATAGTAACTGATGTTGGGAAATTTTGATCAGATTAGAAAACTGATATCAGAGACTAAGGAATTGAGACATAAGTCTGGGTCTCCTTAGGAAGTAGAGCACCTAACAGCCCAGATTGAAGACTTTGGCCCGCCCACTTCTCCACCAGGTTCAGCTAGTCCTTACTAAGCACTGTGTCAACTGGAGTTGCGGAGATATGGTTGAAATCATTTTGAGATTAAGGAAAGTGTTGGTGGTTACACAGAGAGATTCAAATACAAGGTCTGTGTAGAACCCTCAGGTCCTCAATTGTGCTGGGAACTAAGTGAATGAGAATGTGAACAGGCTGTTCTTTCTGATGTAACTCCTTTTTCCCCCCTCTCCAGAGTTCCTGAAATAGAGTTAAAGAATGCCAAAGGTTTGTCAAATGAAAGTGTTAATTTGTTAAAATCCCGCCTAGAGGAACTGGCCAGAAAACATTGTGGGGAGGTAAGTCTTGTTAAGCTAGAATTATAAGAGACAGTCCCCATGTGCTCACCAGCATTTGCCTTGACTTTCAAACTTTGCCATTGCACCTCAAATCCAATATTGACTAGAATGTTTTGTGTCATCCTGGTATCCACACAGGGAGAGTTATTTATTTGTAATTGTTTAATTTACAGTATTTATGAATTATAAGTTATAGAGTGAGTACAGATGGTACTATTGATGCTTAAGAGTTGTTCTAAAAACAGCTGATACAAACCTAGGTATACTTTTTTGCATACTTTGGATCTAGTGTTATGAGCACATCTTGACTTGAACTTTTCTGTTCTAAAATATAGAAAAGTGATTTCTGACCAAACTCTGCGACCTCTCCCTTTAGCATATCAGAAAAACTCATTGTTTTTCTTCTCAATAACTAGTGACATACTCTACTCCTTCAGTGTCTGTTCTGGACCTGAACATTTATAGTGAGCTCAGTACTAATTTTTTAATCCTTTGAACATCAGGGTCTAATATGAGTTTTCCTTGATGGCAGAACTCTAAGAGCAAGACTAGATGACTCCTGGGGGAGAAGAGTATATTGCTGTGTTTTCCTCAGACCAGGCCAATTCCATTTTTTTCTAGTTTGTTTGTTTGTTTGGTACTAGGAATTGAACTAGGGTACTTTACAACTGAGCCACATCCCCAGCCCTTTTTTTTTTTTTATTTTGAGACTGGGTCTCACTAAGTTGCTTAAGGCCTTGCTAAATTGTGCAGATTGGCCTTGAACTTGTGATCCTCCTGTCTCAACCTCCTGAGTCGCTGGGATTATAGGTGTTTGCCCGCATGCCCAGCTCCAGCCAATTCCCTTTAAATATAATTCATCTTTTCCTGACTTGTGTGTAAAATCACTGTTTTTGCAAAATGTTTTGTCAGCTCTCTATCACTATAACAAATACCTCAGATAAGTCAATTTATAAAGAGAAAAGGTTTGTTTTGGCTCACAGTTTTGTAGGTTTTAGTCCATGATTGATTGACCCTGTTGCTTTAAGGCTGTGGCCAGGGAGCATGTCATGGTAGATATGCATAGCAAAGCAAAACACTGCTTACCTCATGGTAAGTCAAAGAGAGGAAGTCAAAGAGAGGAAGAAGAAGGGGCTTGGATCCCACTATCTCCTTTCAGAGCACATACATGCCTGATAACCTGAAGACCTCCCTCTGATCCCCACCTCTTAAAGGTTCTGCCACTTCCCAATAAAGCCAAACAGGGACCAGGTCTTTAACACATGGGTATGTGAGAGACAATCCAGATCCATACTGTACCATTTAATACAGCTCATGCTTAATTATCATATCTTGTAAAAACTGGTAAGAGTTAAACGAGGACTAGTCCTAGGGCTCCGAGTCTGACAGGCCTATGTTAAAGAAAACTACAGTAACATTCACTCCCTAGAAAGTGACTAGTCAGATTTTCACTTATATTCCATAATGTAGTGAGTCATAATGCAGTCTGTGAAGTACCTTTTAGATAATAATAAAATAAAAATTTATCCACTTAAGTTCTTAGTTTTCAAGAACTTCAGTGGTTGATGAGGTACAAAAAGTGATTACAGAACACCCTGGATCAAAAACTAGGCCTTGGGAATTATTCCCAAAGTTCTTTCAAGTGTAAGGTGCTCTAATGTCTAATGGAAAAATAATATGATGGAGTTATTTTGAAAGTTTAGCTACAAATAATCCTCAGATTTCTTGGTTTTCTGATTTGTAATTTTTTTAAATGTGCCTAAAATTACCTTTAAAATGCCCAAATTAATCTTTTAATGTTGAGGTAATTATAGATATACTTCCAATTATAAGTAATACAGAAAGAGCCTATGTATTCTCTACCTGCTTTGCCCTAGTGGTAACATTTTGTGACACTGTAGTACAGTATCATACCCAGGATATTGACATTGATACAGTCTAAATGTAAAATTAGTCCATCTCCACAAGGATCTTTCATGTTGCCCCTTTGTAGTTTCCTTTCATCCTTTCCTTCACTCCTGGCAACCACCTATCTTATTTTTATTTCTATACTTTTGACATTTTAAGAATGTTACATAGGGCTGAGATTGTGGGTCAATGGTAGAGCACTTGCCTAGCATGTATGAGGCACTGGGTTCAATTTTCAGCACTGCATATACATAAATAAACTAAAGTTCCATTGACAACTAAAAATTATAAATAATAAAAAAAGAATGTTACATATAGTATGTAATCTTTTGAGATTGGCTTTTTTCTCCTGCATAATTCTCTGATGATCCATCCACATTGTTGCATGTATCATTAGTTGTTACTTTTTACTGCTTAATAGTATTCTGTGTAAGGATGTAACACTTTCTTTAGCCATTCACCAGATGAAAAAAATCTATTTTTTTTCCAGTTTTGAGCTACTACAAATGAAGTTACTATAAATATTCATATATAGGTGCTACTTGACATATGATGGGGTTAATCCTAATAAACTTATTGTTAAGTTAAAAATGCATTTACTGGGCCAGGGCTGTGAGCGCTCCAGTGGTGGAGCGCTCGCCTAGCATGTGTAAGGCACTGGATTCAATCCTCGGCACCACATAAAAATAAAGATATTGTGTTCGCCTAAAACTAAAAAATAAATATTAAAAAAAATGCATTTACTATACCTAACCTACTGAACATCATAGTGTAGCAACACAGTATACTATAGAGTATCTGTAGTTTTCCCTTCTCCCCCATCATATAGCTGGCTGGGAGCTGCATGTGACCATCACTGCCCAACATTATAAGAGAGTATCTTACCACATATAGCCCAGGAGAAAGAAGATCAAAATGCAGTGGAGTATTATTTAGCCTTGAAGAGAAAGAAAATTCTGACATTTGCTATAACACAAAATGAAATAACTGGTCACAAGACAAGCACTGTATGATTTTACTTATATGATTCTTAGATTTATAGAGACAGAAAGTGATTGCCAGGAATGGAGGGGAGGAAAAATTGGAGAGTTGTTTAATGGATACAGAGTTTCGGTTTGGAAAGATGAGGAAGTTTTGAAAATCGTTGTTGAAGATGGTAACAACATTGTAAATGCACTTAACATTACTGAATGAATGTAGATTTAATGTTGAAGATGGTAAATATTATGTGTGTATATTTTGCCATAATTTAAAAAAAATTATGAAACACCTCATATATTAAGATTTGAAAGGATGCCAAGCATGGGAATATATCCTGCAGATTGCTATTCTTGTTTGTCTAATGTTTGTTTCCACTAAACTTGAAGTACTGGGAAATCTAAAATGCACGTAATTCTAAAGAAATTGTTTTTAGGGCTGGGGATGTGGCTAAAGCGGAGGCACGCTCGCCTGGCATGCCTGCGGCCCGGGTTCGATCCTCAGCACCACATACCAACAAAGATGTTGTGTCCACCGAGAACTAAAAAATAAATATTAAAAATTCTCTCTCTCTCTCACTCTCTCTCCTCTCTCACTCTCTCTTTAAAAAAAAAAAGAAATCGTTTTTATTTTCAAGTAAAATAGAGTATAATTAGGTATTAAAGTGTGGCTTAGAGATTCATTGTGGTATGGCACTTGCTGATAACTGGCTATTAAAATAATGAGTCATTTAATTATTTGAATGGGAGGAATAGGCACTCCAAAACATGTGTTTTAGCACTTCCACTTGCCTCTGAATCATTTTTAATCTGTATAGCAGCTTTTTGTTCATCAGTCCTATAAAAGTAAATTTAAATGTAACTTAGACTTTATTTTTTACAATGAGCAAAGTCAAATTCAATATTTTTTACTAATTCATGCAACAAATATTTATTACCTATCTAACATGAGCCAGGCACCATGTCAGTTCTGGTAAGACTACAGTGAGAAAACATTTGACCATGCTGTGAGGGCAGCACACGGAAAGCAATCTAATGACAGTGTAGTAAATCAGGCTATACTAAGTGCTTTGAAGAAAAATTATGGTAAGGGGTCTGGAGCAGGATGGTAGAGTAGATAAGGTTTGCACAAGGAGCAGGCCTTCAGGAGAGGTCTCTGGGATCTGAGCAGAGGCCTGAAGCAAAAACCATGAATCATGTAGTATGGAGGGAGGGAGTTTGGAAAGTAGTTATTTTCTTCCTGTCCTATAAACTTTATCAGAGTTATTTGTACAGAAAATGCTAGTAAATTAAAAGAGAGACCCTCTACAGTGTGGCTCCTACTCCTTTCTGGTTTGAAAATGGTTTCTCTTTAACATAATAGAAACTATCTGTTTTTTTCCAGCTTTCCTTGGAAGAACTTTTCTTAGAAGAACTTATCTCTTAAACTTCAGATTGTTTTTTTCAACTTTATAGCAATATATATCCAGTATATACCACAACTTCTGGTATAACTTTAAAAATGTATTAACTTCACCCGTCAGGAACTATGGCTTATTGGCATCTGCTCCATGAGAGAAAATACAATACCAGACAAACCCACTTTATATTCTCATGTACAGTGACTTCTGCTATTATTGACCACCATGTTAGGTCCACTTACAAGCATTTTTTTTTATATGTTTTAACATATAGAACTAAGAAGTTTTAAATTCCTTTATCATAATTGAGAAACAAAGAAATTTTAGTAATGTGTTTCTCATCTGCAGAAGTTTGAACTCTTTGTTGTGGGTCTAGAGAAGCAAACAATGTGAGTGAGGTCTCAGAGCCCCAGATTCTATCCATTTACCAACCTAGGTATGATTATGGCTTAGCCTCAGGTGGGAGCAAGAGGCTTCCTAAGAATGCCCAGAGGGGAAGGGTGGCTTGTTCTTCCTGGCTCTATCTGTGAATGCTTCCCTAAGTGGAGATGAAGTACTTTTTTTTTAAGTATTGACCCTTTACAAGCGAGAAGATAGTGAAAGCTTATATTTGCCTCTGTACACCCAGTAGAATATTTTCAGTATCTCATGGACAAATGAAAGTTCTGATGTTAGACATGTGTATTCTCCATGCAATTGTCATTATGTAAACAGGTTTACTAATTGGAAAGGTAGCTTTTGTTTTCATGTAGTTTTAAATATTTTATCAGATTTATTTGTACTGAAAAATATTTCATGGAACTTTTTATACAAAAAATGCCAGTAGGGGCTGGGCTTGTGGCTCAATAGTAGAGCGCTAGCCTAGCACATGCGAGGCACTAGGTTTAATTCTCAGAACCACATTAAATTAAATAAATAAAGAAAGAAAATAAAGGTATTGTGTCCAACTATAACTAAAAAAAAAAATGTAAAAAAAATAAAGAAAGTAAATGCCAATAAGTTTTAATAGGCCTACATAAGAGAAAAGGAGCTTTTTTATTTATCCAGGGGTGATTGTCTTGATTGTAACTCAATGCAGTGAGCCCTTTTGAAGCTTGCCCTGCTGTGATTGCATCAGACACTTAATTCAGAATGTGTGGTAGTGAACTGAATAGCCACATGTCTGATTGCCAGCTTGGTTTGCTGTTTGGTAGCCTCTCCTTTGGGGGACTTTTTTCTCATATTGGATCATTTGTGGATGCTTTTTGTTGACATGTTTAGGTGATGATATTTGAACTGGCTTACCATGTGCAGTCCTTTCTCAGTGAGCATAACAAGCCCCCTCCCAAGTCTTTCCATGAAGAAATGCTGGAAAGGAGGGCTCAGGAGGAGCAGCAGAGGCTGTTGGAGGCCAAGCGGAAAGAGGAGCAAGAGGTAAGACTCCCCTCTTGGGAGCAGATGCCCTACCCAGGAGGCCACCAAGTTTTCTGGGTCATTAGTCTGTCTCTATCTAAAAATGGATCTATAAGTTTTGCTCACTGTTTGACTCAAAAAATGTGGAGGCCCTGAGAGTAACTGAGAAATATTGTGTGGGTCCCTGAGCTGCCTCACAGAAACCTTAGTTCAGATCTAAAAAAGAAAAGACAGAGAAAGGAGGCCGTTTAACCGGGTTTCTTCTTGTGGTCTTCTGAGCTTGCTAAGATGTATACAAACCCACTGAATTTTCCTTGTGAGAGATGGTGTCTCATGCCATGAGGAATCACAAAGTGAAATGAAACTGTTTTTTATGTTCATTAGCTATTTTTTATTTTTCTTAAATCTATTTCCATGAGGTTATTAATTCATTGCTTACTTTAAAAATTTCTTCAAGTCTAAGATAATATATGCCTCTAAATTTCCTTTTTGATTTTCTTTCTTTTTTTTTTATTGTTGGTTGTTCAAAACATTACATAGTTCTTGATATGTCATATTTCACACTTTGTCCTTTTTGATTTTAATTCAATTTTCCTTATACACATTATAAAAAGAGCCTGTTTGTTTTTTCCCCCAGATATTAACACATTTATTGAATAATCATTCTTTATTAAATGAGTCATAATATTTCCTTGATAGTTTAACTGTTTATCTCTACTAGGTTCTGTTGGTAAATTATCTATTTTGTTCAATCCATCTGTTTTTTTTTCCCTTGAGTCTTTACTCACCCTGAATTACTTTAGCTATAGAAAGCTAGAATATATGACAAGCCTGCCTTTCCCCATTCTTTCACATTCTATTATTTTTTTTCTCAAACATTCTAACCTATTTATTTATTTATTTATTTAGCAGTACTAGAGATTGAACCTAGAGGTGCTCTGTCACTGAGCAATCCCTGGCCCTTTATATTTTGTGACAAGGTCTTGCTAAGTTGCTGGCCTTGAACTTGCAATCCTCCTGCCTTAGCCTCCCAAGTCCTTTGGGATTACAGGCATGTGCTACCAAATGGTAAATGGCATTTCACCCATTTATCCTTACAGATGAACTGTAGAATTGCTTTTTCAAAGTCAAAACAACAATTAAACCCTCTGGGATTTTTTTTTTAATATTTATTTTTCAGTTGTAATTGGACACAATATTTTATGTGGTGCTGAGGATCGAACCCAGGGCCTTGCATGTGCTAGGCGAGCGCTCTACCGCTGAGCCACAATCCCAGCCCACCCGCTGGGATTTTTACTGAAATTATACTAAATTTATATATTTATTTAGGAAGAATTGACATCTTGACAATATTCAGACTTCCCATCTGCATTTATTTTTATCTCTTGATGAAGTGTTCTTTTTTTATCCCTGTAGATAGTACTACTTCTTACAGTTGCTTCTGTTGATTCTTGTGTCTAGCTCTTTTTTTGTTTTTCTGCTTCATTCTGAGCTTATGTAATCACTGCCTCTTTGTGGGTTCCTCTATTTTTTTACTGATGATCTCCTATTAAATTGTGTAGCCTGGTCATCATTTAAAGTTTACAGTTCCATATTATTTGAGGATAGTGGATATTTAGCTAACAGTTTTGTTTTGGTATGCTGCTATAACTATCTATTAGTTCTTATTACTATTTTAGTTTATGGTGTCTTGGTACTTTTTTAATATATTTTTTTAATTGTTAATGGACCTTTATTTTTATGTGGTGCTAAGAATCAAACCCAGTGCCTCACACATGCTAGGCAAATGCTCTACCACTGAGCTACACCCCCAGCCCTGTCCTGGTACTTTTGATACTTACACTCTGGAATTTTTATACTCTGGAATTTTGTTCTTTTAACAAAAAGAATGGATATCAAAATATCACTTTTTATACCAAAAGACTTATGAAAAAATGCAGGTACAGGTCTATGGCCAGTGGGTGTGGTGCCTGGTATTGAGGACAGCTCAGCCCACCTCTGGCAAGCCAGCCCCAGACCCTAGGGCAGAGACAGCCACAGTTTTTGTACCCTACAGATAGGCAGATATAAGAGGTGGGGAGATGGGAGAATTCAGCAGCGTTGCCATAGTGAAAGTTCTTCCACATGAAGAGGTAAAGAATGGAAAATAATACTCTCCTCACACAGTCTTAAAACTTCAGCTAGGAAGCTAATTGTTTAAGAACTCAGACAAAACTGATGGACCTGCATTTTGTACTAAAGTTCTCTATATTCAGGTCTCTTAGAAGAAAAGGGCTTAAGTATATTGAAATTCAAGTCAGAATTCTATAGTTTTAGAATTGACACATAGTATGTATTTTAGAGTTTGGTGTCTGATGGTGCTTTTATTTATTTCAGAAGCGTGAAATCCTTCATGAGATTCAGAGAAGGAAAGAAGAGATCAAAGAAGAGAAAAAAAGGAAGGAAATGGCTAAGCAGGTACTCTATCAGTTCTGCTACACTAAGATAATCTACATTTTGCTAAACATAAAACATTTTTATTTCCATTGATGTTATTTTTTTCCTTTCATATTTCTATCAGTAGTAAAGCTTAGAAAAAAAATCCCCAAAGTTAAATGTATTGTATATTTTAGATTCTCCAAATAGGTGGCAGAATTTTAAGTTACGTCATCTGTAAGTGATTTAAGCTTTTAGGGTTACACTAATTTATAAAATGAGTCAAGGAAGAGCAGACTGAAGCTTTGTTAATTAACCCGGACTGGAATTCTTAATACCTAGAAAATATTTGTTCATACTGAAGAGAGAATGGAAACAATATGCATGTATTAGAGATTTCATTCAATGGTGGAAAAGAATGATGTGACAAAACAGGTTTAAAAGTCAGTGGTAAAAAAGGATAAAGTGCTTTTTCTTTATTTTCCCTGTTCCAGCTCAGTCCCAAAGAACAAGGTATACATGTTTACAGAAGTCCAGAGAAAATTTTGCTCATTCTCTCAAACAGAATTAATAATGCCTTTCTGTTTCATGTAATTATTCCCACAAACAGGTGTACTGCCTATGTGAAAGTAGAAAGCTGAGCACAAGTTAAGATGTTTGTTTTCCACCAGCTCTCTCATCCTGTGTCTGATCTGCCTTCCTGTCAGCCACTCTGCATTCTCTTTGAATCCCCTCTTCTTCTGTTCATCTCCTTTTGTCCCTCTGCCTAATTTTTTATGTTTATTCTAAAATTGTAAACATTTTCACTTATAAAATTCTCTTGAAACTATAACCTGGGCTTCAGATCTTGACTCAGTACATATTTGGGCATTAAATTTTTAAAAGTTGAGTTCAGCTTTATTACACTTGCAAGCACTCAGCTTAAATAAAATTTGCATTCCATACTGAATTGCTAATGCCATACCATGCTTGTTTTCTACATGTGACTTACATCTAAAATAGGTTATGCTTTTCTTTTTCTAGGAACGTTTGGAAATTGCTAGTTTGTCAAACCAAGACCATACCTCTAAGAAAGACCCCGGAGGACACAGAACAGCTGCCTTGCTACATGGAGGCTCTCCTGATTTTGTAGGAAATGGTAAACACCGGACAAACTCTTCAGGAAGATCTAGGTGAGTCCCTGGGATTCTAATCTGGGAGGATGAAAGCTGTAGGATCAAAACAACTTGTGGTAAACTTTGATAAAATTTCCAGATAGGACTCTTAAGCCTATAAATCTTTTTTGTTGTTGTTGTTGTTGTTTAAAAAAAAAAAAAAGAAAAGAAAAGAAAAAGAAATTTTATTGCTTTGCTAGCAAAGGAGACATACCAGGGACTCCTGTCCCAGAGGCTATGATTCTGCCCTTCAGCAGGAACAGGGGCCTTTTAAAGATGTGATTTCAAAGGCTGTATTCTACATGTTCTCTGTTGAAGTTATAATTCATTTGTTAATTTGGGAGATAGTCATTTCTGAGATCTTCTGGTACCATCCCCAGAATCTGGATTACTTAGTTTCTATAGTGGATGTGTGTACAAGGACAGATAAATCTGCCTAAAATGGGGAAGAAAGGCAGTCCTGTTTCCCTTAAGATTAGAGAGAGGGAGAGATTAGGGAGGAGCAGGGAGAGAGGGAGAGAAAGCCTATATAAATATATTAGTTAACTGGACAAAACCAAATTTTCATTTAATACTTTCCAAGTGTATTGATAGAAACCAGTTTCATAGCTCAAACCCCCTTAGAACAGCCTGTAACACTTCACAATTCTGCCTTCAGTACTGTTCAATTTGACTTTTAATTGTCTATTATATAATAAATGATTTAAATCTTTCCTTCGATCTGTAATATCATCCTCTCAAATTGTATGCTTTCTGTATATGTTTCAGTGTGTAACTCCTTAGGTGCAACCACAAATTTGGGGAGTGCTCCAAAATGGGCACAGATGTAGAACACCTGTTAAATGAGAAGGGAGCCCCCTCCCTGCCACTACTGAAGTGGGCTTCTGTGTTGATCCCTTTTACCAGAATTCACATGAAAAACACTGCTTCTTCTTTCTCATCCTTTCCCACTAAGCTGTCGAGTCTTCCCTGTTTTTCCTTGAGAGTAGAAAGGAATTTTAATGCAGAAACCATATAATTTGAGACGATGAGCACGTCATTAAATAGTAAGGGTACTGCAGCTCTTAAACTATCTCTTGTGAGTCTCCAAGCAACACTTAAAGCCAACTCTTTGCTTCTATCAAAAGAAACATTTTAGGTACCAAACTAAAGATTTATGTAAAATTTTAGGTTAGAGTTTGTTTATTAGAAGGAAACATTTTAGTTCTTTCCCTAATGTCCTTTTTTAAAACCAACTTAGAAATAATTTTGATAATGTTTAACTACCTACTATTAGGGTGAATTAGAGATTTTTTTTTTATTTGTAGATGGACACAATATTTTTATTTTTTAAATTTTTATGTAGTGCTGGGATCGAACCCAGGGCCTCACGGATATGAGCAAGCACTCTGCCACTGAGCTACAACCCCAGACCTAGAGATGTTTTGAATACTGTTTCTGGTGACAATCTTTTTGAGGAATACCTTCTTACCAATTAGATTATAACTCCTTACCAAATTAGATTATTTTTGCAACTGGCTTCTAATAGTGAATAAAAAATTGTCAGAAAATTTCACTGGGAAATATTTAGCAAATTCTTATTGTGTTAGAGATAGCAGAATTAAATCAATGTTATAAATATGTCTTTTTAGATATGGAAAAAACGACTTTTTTATGTTTAATCATATTTATATTTGTGGCTGACTATGATCAGTAGATCCAAGGTTAGACTTGCATTTGAGATCAGTGATAGCAAGTGTATTCAGAAAAAGGCAGGAAATTGTCTCTCCTCTTGCCGTGGATACAACAACTTTTAATGTAATGCCTTTAGAGTGGCAGGTATGTATCTTGGATGGAACAACATTCCATGAGTATCTAAGAACAAAACTGACAATAAATAGTTGTCATCTATTTCATCTGTTTGGCAAGTTTGTTGCATGTACCTACATGGACTCTGCATTGGTAGTTGTGTTAGCTACTGACTGAAAAGATCAAATCCTTCTTAAGTGTAGTTTAAATGCTTCTTTGGTTAAAAAATAAAAAGTCATTGATGTACCACATTACTTCATGGTATACTTGTGGTTCTTTTTCTTACCTGCTGTTCATTGGTCCTCATTATTTAGAAAGTCAAAGAAATAGGCAAAATGTTCCACTTTGTCTTTTTGTGAATAAATACACATGGTAGACTTAATAGAGATGTCTTTGTCATCTGAATTGTTAGCGGCAATATTTGAACTGACTATGACTAAAAGCAGTAAAATCTAGAATCATGTTTCACTGATTCATTCAATAAATGCTTATTGAGCACTTACTATGTGCCAGGCGCTCTTCTGAGTACTGGGATTTGGTAAACGAGATCAAGGACTGTCTTTGTGGAGCTTATATTCTCATTGAAAACTGTCCATAAGCAGAAAAGAAATGTCAGATAAGGATTAGTGCTACACAGAGAAATAAAATAGGCCTGTGTTGAATAAAAGCTGGATGACCATTTTAGAATGTTTGAAGGAAAACATACAAAGTTTGGATCTAGAGTGGGGGGTTCTGGTTCTAGAAAGTGAGAGGGAGCCAGCCAGACCAAGATCGGAAGGAGAACAGCTCAGCATTGAAAACAGTGCTCAAAGCTCATTAAGCAGGACAGTAAGGCTAGAATTAGTAGGCATGGAGAGAATAGTTCAGGAAGGATAAAGCAGGCAGTCACAGAGGGCTTTGTTGACCAGGGTGGGTCAACAAAGATAAATGAGCAGCTTTGAAGGTGTTACTCAGGACTAAATACTACCTTCTGATTTACATTGTTGTTGTGGTTTGGATGTAAGGTGTTTCCAAAAGCTCATGTGTGAAACGATGAGATGCAAGAAGGTTTAGGTTTAGAGGAGAAATCACTGGGTTGTGAGAGTCTTAACCCAATCAGTGAATCAATCACCTGATGGGATTACCTGTGTGGTAACCAAAGGCAGGTAGTGTGTGTCTAGAGGAGGTGGGCATTGGGGGCGTGCCTTTGGGGCATATATTTTGTATGTGGCAAGTGGATTATCTCTCTCTGCTTCCTGATCATCAAGTGCCATTTTCTTCTGCCATGATGTTCTGCCTCACTTTGAGCCCTGAGGAATGGAGCTGGCTATCTATGGACTGGGACCTCTGAAACTGTGAGCTCCCAAATAAACTGTTCCTCCTCTAAAATTGTTCTGGTCAGATTTTTTTAGTCACAGCAGTGTAAAGGCTGACTAAAACAATTGTGGACTCTTCTTCTTGGCCACAAGTGGAGAATGGACATTGGGGAAACCACAGTAAAAAGTGAGTGGTTTTAGCATCTAGTTCCCCATCATTCTCCCCTCCCTTGCCTCACAGCATCACTCCTTGAGCACACCAAGCACCTTCTCATCTCAGGGCCTCTGCCTGTCACTCTGCCTAGGACGCTTTTCCTATGTCACTTTGCATGGCTGCTGCTTCTAATTCAGTTCTTTCCTGAAGTATGACCTCCTCAGAGACACCTCCCCTGAGCTGCCCTCTACTCTACTTCTCTGCTTAGTACCTATAATCTGATTCTCTATTTAATTTTTTTCTTTTTCTGTTTTTTGTTTGTTTGTTTGGGATTAACTGTGTGGTAACCAAAGGCAGGTAAAGTGTGGCTAGAGGAGGTGATGGTGGTTGTTGTTTGGTTGGTTTTGGTTTTGTAACGCTGGGGATGGAACCCAGGGCCTTGTACATGTTAAGCAAGCTCTCTACCACTGAGTCACACACCCAACCCCTGTTTTTCTGCGTACCACTTACCACTAGATGAAATTCTCACTCATTTGTTTTCTTTTTGTAATGGAGAATGAAAAGTTCATGAGAGCAAAGATACATGGGTGTCTTCCTCAATGCCTGGTAGAAACATAGTAGTTGTTCAATAAATGACCTGATGTAGGAAAGGAGGGCACAAGAGAACAATAGAAAGAAAGGAGAGATTGTGTTTTTTGTGCCTTTAGTGTCTGCAGCCTCTTTACCCCGAGCAAGTCTGCTTTTCTTTATCTGTGGGGTATGTCAAGAATTAGTTTTGCCAGGAATGGTGGCAAATACCTGCAATCCCAGGAACTCAGGAGGCTGAGGTAGGAGGATCACAAGTTCAAGGACAGTCTCAGAAATTTATCAAGACCTAATCAATTTTGAGACCTTGTCTCAAAATAAAAAGGGCTAGTGATGTAGCTCAGTGGTAAAGTGCCCCTGGTTCAATCCCCAATACCAAAATAAATTAATTGTTAAACACAAAATTTCTACTTCTTAAAGCAAAAGAAAGAGAGAAAAGAAAAACATGCATGAAAAAACATGGTGGCAAGGACTTAAAGGCCTAATCATTGGGGACCTGGCTCCTTGACCCAGCTCTTCACTGCTGAATCTTTGTTTTTGTTAAAGAACTTTATTTTCTGTGTTCTTCAAGTCATGAAGGATTGAGGATTTGCTTTTTTTAAAAAAAAAAATTAAGGTAAAATTCAAATGATATAATATTAACCATTTTGAAGTGGATAGTTCAGGGTTGTTGTCTTTTGTAAAGTATAGACCTAGTTCTCCTCAGTCCTTGCCCACATTTCTACCATCAAACAAAATCAGGTTATCTCCTAGTTTGTTTTCCCTGTTCTAAAGCCAAGTATGGTAACTGCTAGAAAATCATCTGTTCTGAGAAGAAACAACTAAGGGTATAAGACATGGGATTTCAGAAGATGGTGGCGCCCGAGTCAGGCGTGATACATGTTTCCGCAGAGAGCACCTCTCAAGGAGGGATGATGTCATTTCTCCTCCTCTGGTGAAAGGCAAGCCTCTTTGCCCACTATGAGCATCACCCCAGAGGTCAAGAGTCATGGGATGAAGTTTGCTGAGGAGCAACTGCTAAAGCATGGATGGACTCAAGGCAAAGGACTAGGCCTGAAGGAGAATGGCATCACTCAGGCCATCAAGGTGACTCTGAAGCAAGATACTCATGGGGTGGGACACGATCCTGCCAGGGAGTTTACAAACCACTGGTGGAATGAGCTTTTCAACAAGATTGCAGCCAACTTGGTAGAAGAAACTGGGCAGGACGGAGTGCAGATAAGACGCCTTTCCAAGGAGACCACTCATCATCGTCCCAAGCCGAACATGCTGTATCAGAAGTTCGTGAAGCTATGAACCCGAGGTTGCTTGCTTCCAGCAGCTGCAGTCCACCTTCTGCCAGGTTGAAGTATGCAGGCCCCCACACCTGTTACTCTGCAAGGAGCAAGTTGGGGGCTGGCAAATTCCTGCCTAGGCTATGTATTCCTGGGAGGCTTCCACAAAGGAAGAGGGGTGGTAGTGATGTCTCTGAGGCCTCACAGCCACAGTCTGAAAGCCAGCCCCTCAACCCCCCAAAAAAGAAAAGGAAACAGAAAGAGCCTAGAGCAACTGAGCAGAGTATGGATGAGGAGCTCCCAGAACACTCTGAGCACAGCACCAGGAAAAGCAAAAAGAAGAAAAGACGACATCAAGAGGAGGAGGTCTCAGATGAAAGAGGGGGAACAGCCGTAGAGAGTAGAGAGGACGAGGCCGTGGGGCCCAGTGGGCTCGAGGAACCCGGGAGAGAGAGCAAGCCCATGGTCTCTTCTTTGAAGAAGAAGAAGAGACAGCACCGTGAAGGGGAGGAGGAGGAGGAAGAGACGGGGGTGTTGGGTGGAGAAGGAAGAGGGAAGGATCCTGCAAGTAGTGTTGGGAGAAAGGAGGTGATGAGCAGAGCACACAGGGACCCCTGCCGCAGAGACAAGAAAAGGCAGCCGCATGAGGAGGACTTGAGCATGGCTGATGGGGACGGAGAGGAGACTGCTCTAGAGGGTGAAGCCGGGAAAGCAGGAAGCTCGCCCTTCGGTAACAGAAGCAAGAAGAGACAGCAGTGCAGGAAAGAGGAGGAGGTCTCGGATATAAGCTGCGAATGTGACAAGGGCAGGACTGAGGAAATAGAGAACAGAGGTAAGAAGAGGAGGCGGCAGCAACTTGGGGAGGAGAGAAGGAGAATCAGCACTGACCAGAGCACCAAAAAGAAGAAACAGAAGAAGACTGACGGTCTCTCAAGCTGGAGTCAGTTCCTTTTCAGTTGAAGCCTCAGGGACCATGGTCAGCGTCCTAGATGAGGAACCCCTCCCGAAGAGGCAACTGAGCTCAGGGACA